GGGCCGGGGATCGGTGACAGCGGGGCGCCACGGCCGCGGGGCTGCCTCAGGTGCCACCGCACCGGGGGCGCGCAGCGAGGAAAGGAATTTGAACCCCTGACGCGCCCTCAGTCGATTAAATCAGCCCCCGGAGACCCTGACCTTCTGCACACCCCTCACCTGTAGCGGCACAAAGTGCAGGCGGGCCGGCCTTTGCCCCGCGGAGAAGGGCAGGCTCCGGCGCTCTCCGCAGGAGCGGGCAGGTGCGGGGCGAGGCAGGCGGCCGCACGCTAACCCGGCTACTGTGCGAGCTGCGGGACGGCGGCGGGCTGAGGTGGAGCAGGAGGAGTTAGCCGGGGCTGAGTCACGACGGGGTTCGCCCCTGTTGAGCCCGGCTTTTCCTGTTCGCCCATCAGCCGCAGACTGCTGATTGTTCCGATTTTCCCTCCCTTACTTTTTTGCTAGGGATGACCTCTAAGGATGCTTCAGGTGAAGCTAATAGTAACTGGAGATGACTTTGGCTATTGTCCTCGGAGAAACCAAGGCATCGTGGAGTGTTTCCTGGCCGGTGCGATATCTAACGTGTCCCTTCTAGTCAACGGAAGTGCTGCAGCAGATGCAGCCAAGCTGGCAAGGAGGTAAGCTACTTTCTTTAGCTCCCTTGTGGCGAGCCTCCACAGGCTATCCACAGAAAGCCAAGCCTGTAAAATTTAGTATTTTGTAAGCCCCAGTATAAACACTGTATCACAGCCCAGGCTGGTTTAAGTAAACTGGATTCCAGGCAGATTTACTGACTCTTCATAGTAAAACCAGTGACTGGCCAACCATACCCCCATAATGGTGCTTTCTGTGGTATTATCCACAGCACTGCTAATTTCTGCCTCAGGAATAGAAAGGCACCCCTTTTTTTCCACAGGATAGAAAGCCACTAACACAATTTGACTGGTACAGTTTGGGTTACTTGGACTTTCTTTTCCCACATCTTTTCTAAAAGATGCACCATCAGAATCAAAGTCCATGCTATATACCAGGACCAAGCTGCTACCCCTAAACTGTTAGAGCACAGAAGCACAAGTGTTTAAATCTCATCTAATTTGATGCATTTCAGCCAGGCTGAACACAGGGTCAGCTAGGTTCACTGCAGAATCAGAGGAAGGTGTGATTTGGTGACAGTTAAATTACAAATCTGGGCAGTGGAAACTTTTCCACTCCAGAAACCTTTTTTAAAAAGCACCTCAATATTTCAGTTAATTCTAGGCTTGATAAATCCATTTGTAAAAACCTGCATACATAAAGAGATAGACAGTGCCTGGTACCTACCACCTCTACTCCACAAACTTTTCATAGGTTGCTGGCACAGTTAGCACCCTAGCAAATCAAATGCTATGTGTCATTCTCATGGACTTGCCCAGCAAATCCTTTAATAGGAAGTATTACTTGCATTTAGAAGGTAAAACTCAGCTAATGCTTCAGCTCCAGTGTGGGGAGACACTTGGAAGCAGAAGTATGTCTTGAAAGAGAAAGCAGCAGGATTGAGAAACAATTTAGGAAAGCAGAAAAGGAAAGAAGCTCTACTGGTACTAGAAGAACTGAGACCTTATGCTTCAAATACAGCTGCTGCAGGGGGCAGTTTCATGAGAGTCATGCTGTCCGTGTTCTCCTTGAACGTCTTTCTCCATTTGTCTATGATTTTAGGGGTACTTGTAGCTTCTTTGGTTTTGGGTGGCACGGGAAAGCCAGGGTATGGCATTAGTGGCAAACTGTTCTTCTGTTAAAAAGGTTAGAGATTACACACAAACTCAGAGAAGAATTGCCTCTGGGATCAGAAGGGGAGAGGCAGAAGGACCCAACACTCTTGAGATGCCTAAAATCCTGTTAGTAAATGAAACAAAAGAAATGTAAAACACGGAGATAAGGCCATCCCTTCTCTCAGACACAGAGGCACCGTGAAACCCTTTGAGTCCCAATGCTCTGGTAATGTTGTCAGCTGTTTTAGCCATGGTCTTTAGCAGACTTTTAAATATAGAATCCACCTGGCCTCATTTCCATAGCCAGAAAGTAGGCCGTGGAATCAGAGGTTTAAAAAAGCATCTTTGAATCCAGGTCATGACACTTGTGCTGACAGCTGATACGGGTGTGAAAAGCCAGGTTGGAGGGCAGGTAACAGCAGAAGCTGCAACCCCCTGCTACAATTTCATCTTTTGGGGGGGCGAGTAGTTTTGAACTGTAAATGTGAATGAAATGGTTTTATATCTGTTTCTGAGAATATAAGCAGGGTGACTTTGGGAACATCTGTCAGCACTGAAGCTCAACAGCCCAGGTGTGCAGTTCCTCGTTTGTGTAACCCTCTGCAGCTGTATTCAGCATGGGGGAGGCATTTCAGGCTTGGGGAAAAGGGTTGGTGTTCTAATGCAAGCCCAGGTGCTGCTAGCACATGTGCACTTAACTGGTACCTGTGCATGTAAACAAACGTGTCACCTCCAAGATATTTGTTCTATTGCAGAGGTTCATACAAACTTCTTTTCAGATACAAATAGGTCAGACTTACTAGAAACGTCATTGAGTCATCCTCATCTTGTGGTGGAAAAATGGAAAAGTATCCCAGTTGCTTGACTGCCTTACCCCTGTTATTCCCTCTTCCCCGTTTGGTGTTGTCTCCTATCCCACTGTGAATATTGAGGCTTTGCAACATTTTGTGTTTTATGGGATTAAACTCTGCTCTGTTTTCTCTCCCCATGTTTGTCTTCCCCCACAGACACCCAACTAAGCAAGTACTATATATACACAATGCATGCATGCACATGCATATAGGCTTAACTCCACAGCAGACATTTCAGCTTTGACCAGTGGTGTATGCAGGGAGACTGGGTCTCCCACCAGCTGAGAGAAGAGGCTCGAAGCAAGTAGCTTCTTCTTTCCTGGGGTACTTCCCAGTGTTTCGGTGTTTGGACTTTTGCACACGTGGTGCCAGGATTGTCAGAGTGCTAGACTGTTTGTATGGCTTGTGGAGATTATCTGAGTGGTTCTTAATTAGCTGTCTGTGACATAACTATGTCACTGCAGGTCTCGAGCTCGCTCTCCTCACCTGGTTTTCAGTTAATTGGACACAGGCAAAGCTAATTAGTAACAAGACAACTTTTCTTGCAGGATAGTCTGTCTAAGCACCTCATGCTGCCCTGCAATGTTAGGACTCAGCATCCTTCAGAAAGGAACACAGTTCTGGTATTTCATTCTTCCCTTCATTTTCACAATAACTCTGTAGGCTTCTGGGTATACCATCTGTTGTCCTGTGTTTTGATTAGAAGCCTTGGCAGAAATGCAACAGTAGTCAGCAGATCTTTGTACCAGCTCGAATGCAAACTAATTGCAAAACAGCAGAACCAAGCAGTAAACAATACACCTTCCTTTACATCTAGGTTCTGGATCTTGGGCTTTTCTCATTCACTGTCACAACTGGGCTAAAAGAAGGAACCCACTCACTTCAGGCGAGTTTCAGCAGAGGGCTTGATTCATCACCAAGTGACAAACCTATTGATAGCAACTGTTAGATCAGTACATAACCAGAACAGCAGGCGGGAGAACAGACTTCCATTGTGGGTTTTTTTTTCAGTAACTCAAAACTTTTCTCTTTATGGGGCATAGACTGACTGTGACTTCCTGGTTATCCATATAATATAATCTTGATTTTCTACTTATCAAGCCCCACCTTGAAGTCAGCTAGTCTTCCTGGTGATTATTCCAGAGCCTTTCCCAGAGATTAGAAGGGTTATTTTGTTACCTGAAATGAATAGGTCCCTTCAGTTTTCCTTAGAAATATGGAGATAGCAGAAAGAGAGAGACCTAAGATTGCTGTCATATTTTTCCCAGTGTTTGTCAACCAGCTCAGTTGTATTAAGACCCTTTCCCAGATGACTGTATCAAAATACTTGATGAAGAGTGACATATTTTTAGAACACAACCTCAGTCTTCCTGTTTTGTTTTTTCAGTTTAAATGCTGCACATCAGCTACACAAAAGCTGAAGCCCCCACAACATCTGGGTACATTTAACAGAAGAATCTAACAAAACCACATTTAATTGCTGTCTATGTTTTCACTTCCTTTCCCATCAACACTAATTGCAAAATGTGTGTATAAATTGTTATTTAATTCTGACCCTCCCAGTCAACATGTAACTAGTCTAGAAATCTCTCATGCTTTCTCATCATCGTTTTATCTGATGGTTAATCACATAGCAGACAGTTCCACTGCTGAACTGTATTTGCTTTAGGGGTGGGGCCCAATCTGAGGCCTTAAACTAGAACCCCAGAACTTTACTGACAGCAGCACTCTGCTGATCAGGGATACAGGAGCTTCAGATACATCTTTTGATAGAAAGATGTCATTAAAGAGAAAGTCGCATCCCTAAACTATGTTACAGTAACAGTTCTTAACACTGTAGAGGCTTTGGAGTGTTTCTTCTAGCAGAAAGAAGTCCTTAGCAGTAATGGAGCAAGACAAGATTCTATTTGATGAAAGACAGTTAGATCTTACGGTTTGCTGAAAGGTAGCTGTCTCTTATACACATCAGATGTGTATAAGAGACAGTTATATCTGTTTCTGAGAATATAAGCAGGGTGACTTTGGGAACATCTGTCAGCACTGAAGCTCAACAGCCCAGGTGTGCAGTTCCTCGTTTGTGTAACCCTCTGCAGCTGTATTCAGCATGGGGGAGGCATTTCAGGCTTGGGGAAAAGGGTTGGTGTTCTAATGCAAGCCCAGGTGCTGCTAGCACATGTGCACTTAACTGGTACCTGTGCATGTAAACAAACGTGTCACCTCCAAGATATTTGTTCTATTGCAGAGGTTCATACAAACTTCTTTTCAGATACAAATAGGTCAGACTTACTAGAAACGTCATTGAGTCATCCTCATCTTGTGGTGGAAAAATGGAAAAGTATCCCAGTTGCTTGACTGCCTTACCCCTGTTATTCCCTCTTCCCCGTTTGGTGTTGTCTCCTATCCCACTGTGAATATTGAGGCTTTGCAACATTTTGTGTTTTATGGGATTAAACTCTGCTCTGTTTTCTCTCCCCATGTTTGTCTTCCCCCACAGACACCCAACTAAGCAAGTACTATATATACACAATGCATGCATGCACATGCATATAGGCTTAACTCCACAGCAGACATTTCAGCTTTGACCAGTGGTGTATGCAGGGAGACTGGGTCTCCCACCAGCTGAGAGAAGAGGCTCGAAGCAAGTAGCTTCTTCTTTCCTGGGGTACTTCCCAGTGTTTCGGTGTTTGGACTTTTGCACACGTGGTGCCAGGATTGTCAGAGTGCTAGACTGTTTGTATGGCTTGTGGAGATTATCTGAGTGGTTCTTAATTAGCTGTCTGTGACATAACTATGTCACTGCAGGTCTTGAGCTCGCTCTCCTCACCTGGTTTTCAGTTAATTGGACACAGGCAAAGCTAATTAGTAACAAGACAACTTTTCTTGCAGGATAGTCTGTCTAAGCACCTCATGCTGCCCTGCAATGTTAGGACTCAGCATCCTTCAGAAAGGAACACAGTTCTGGTATTTCATTCTTCCCTTCATTTTCACAATAACTCTGTAGGCTTCTGGGTATACCATCTGTTGTCCTGTGTTTTGATTAGAAGCCTTGGCAGAAATGCAACAGTAGTCAGCAGATCTTTGTACCAGCTCGAATGCAAACTA